AAAACATACAGATACAATTAAAAGTGCTGTAGTGGTGCAGCGCTGCAGGACATTAAAAGCCTTCCAGAGGTGCATAGAAAGGAGCACACAGAAAGAGGACATCTAAGAAACAGTATTATGCTAGTCAGAATTAAATGCTAATTTAAAAAAGTGGGTGTTAAGCTTTTTTTTAAAAGGCTGAGGTCAGTAGTGGACCGGATGTCAGGGGTTAGTTTGTTGCACAGTCTGGGAGCAGCGACGGCAAAAGAACGATCGCCCCACTGTTTGAGTCTTGACCTAGGGACCTCTAGCAGAAGCTCACCCGAGGGGCGCAAAGCTCTGCCACAATTGCAGAAAGGTAAAATCTCAGACAAGTAAGAGGGGGCCAAGCCATGAATGGCGTTAAAAACAAACAGCAGAAGTTTAAAATCAATTCTAAAACGGACTGGAAGCCAGTGGAGTGACGACAGCACAGGAGTAAAGTGTTCACGTCTGGACGTGTTTGTTAAAAATCTAGCGGCAGCGTTCTGCACAAGTTGAAGACGAGAATTTGTTGACTGACTGAGGCCAACGTAAAGGGCATTGCAGTAGTCCAGTCTTGAACTAATGAAAGCATGGATTGCCTTCTCAAGATCCTGCCGACTGAGAAAGGACTTGACTTTGGCCAAAAGACGGAGCTGGAAAAAGCTTGAGCTGACAACGGAGCTAATCTGTTTGTCAAATTTGAGCCCATTATCAGATGTTACCCTGAGATTTTTGACATGGGATTCAAAAAGGGGGGCCAGATTTGTAGAGTTTGTGGTGAGAACATTTGAAATAGATGGAGAACCAAACAAAATGCGTTCAGTTTTGCAAAAACTTCTGTGACAGCCACTGCTTTATCTCTGTGATGTAGTCTAGTAGCTTAATAAGTGCGGTGTTTTCTTTTGGTTTCAAGGGCAAATATATCTGCAAGTCGTCGGCATATAACTAAAAAGACAGGTTGTGTGTTTTTATAATTGATCCCAGAGGTAGCATATATAAAGAAAACAGATTAGGGCCGAGAATAGATCCCTGTGGCACCCCACAGGGCAGCGATGCCTTTGTGGAGCAGTGGTCACCAATCGCGACAGAGAAGCTCCTGTTTGCAAGGTATGACCTAAACCACTGGAGAGCGGTGCCACGGAGACAATTCTGTTCAGTAAAATGTTTATTTATGCTCTATATTTCATATATAAAACATTTCACATGGATTTACGTGGAAAAGAAAAAGTAGTATAATGAAGTAGCATCATAATAGTATATAACTTACAAAACGAAATCATATTTAAGGTAAGATTTATAAAATATAGCAAAACTGAAGAAACTAGGATGTTCAATGGGAACCATAAACTACTAGATATTTACTTAAAAAAAACAAAAATTGGCAAACATGTGTTGTTGATGTTTCTCTGTTTTTTTTTGTTTTTTTTTTTAGGGAAAAGAGGCCGTCGTGGAGCCCTGGGAGGACACCAACTTCCACCTTTACAAAGTCATCGACCGCTTTGGATTCGTCCAGTAAGATCCCACTACATTCGGTCCACAGCAGCCTAAGTGTCTGTGGCTTCAGCCCTTCATAAACAGCTCAGTGTTAAAAGTATTTATAGACCAGGACGTGCAGGAGGGAGGCCTTCTGGTTAGCCATAATCATAGAGCATCAGCGTCAGGACCGAGAGCTGCCATCCACACAGCGCTGCAGGCGGGCGGGGAGGGATGGACACAGACATGAGGGGGCGGAGCTTCTGGTTCCAGACAGGACCAGATGTGTCCTCAGGTCCACAAAGCTGTTACAGACAGCTGGGGTCTGTGTTTACTGACAGAAGCTGCAGAGAAATATGGAACCAGGTCTTTAATTCACTTTATTCTAGTAGCACTGGAATCATTTTAAACTTGTCATCTTTAAGTCGAAGTTTGATGTATATAAATGTACAATATAAAAATTTTGAAAATTTATATTTGAAAAAAATCCTT